AAAAAACAGCTGCTAAATAGTCCCTTATAAAAAATGTCATTCCTTTACAGATTTGGCTAGAAGGAAAAAGAGGCATCAGTGAGGGCCTCATCTCATTTCTCTTTATCACAAGCCTCACCCCAATGCACCAGCCCAAATAAGCCCCAGTGAATACTGCCGTGAATGTAATGCATTTCTAATCCCCAGCCATCTAATCTGCGATGTAATCACAGATATTACACCTCATTTCACTGGGGGAGGGTATGTGTATGTGTGTAACTGAACACAGGGCTTTTGCAAGGAGCTATATCCCAAGCCCTTTACTTTTGACAGACAGTCTCCACAAGTCACTAAGTTGCCCAGGCTAGGCTTGAACCTATGATCCTCCTACTTCAATTTCCTAGGGTATTGGGATTACAGGCATGTATTATCATGCCTGACTAACTTCACCTCTCTTAATTTTAACTTTTCTGTGTAAATACTGCAGAAAGATACCTTATGAAAGGGTGAATGAATGAGGAAATAATGCACATTCATTATTCTCAAAATACATTTTTTTTTAGGCTCCACCTACTGAATCAGAATCTTTTTACATGGGTGCAGGGGGAGCTGGAAATCTATTTTTTTCTTTTGTTTACAGGATCTACGTAGTTCAGTCTGGCCTCGAACTCATAGCAATCCTCCTGCCTCAGCCTCCCAAATACCGGGACTACAACCATATGACACTATGCCTAACTGGAAATCTATTCTTAACAAGCTCCTTGAATAATTCTTATGTAGTTGGGTGCTAGTTTAGCATTTGAAATCTTTTCAACCAAAGTACTACCAAATGTAACAATTGGAAAATTAAAGTGCTGCAGATGGAACCCAGGCGATTGTGCTCTAGCTAACTACAGAGCTACAATCCCCATCAGGATGTAAGATTAGAAAACTGCCTCTGGACAGTAAGAAGAAACAATTTAATAAAGTAATTGGGGGGGTACTGGGGATTAAACTCTGGTTCTTGCACTTGGGAGGCAGGTGGCGGAACCACTGAGCTAAATCCCCTGCCCTCAATAAAGTAATTTTAAGGGAGATTTAGTTCTAAGGCTAGATTTGTATTAGGCCCTGAGGTACTACCATAGTTATTCATGAAGGCTAGACAATGTTCACCTCTGCTTTGAGAAGAGTGTGAAGCAGATTTCCACATGGATTTTATTTTTGGGCATGATGAAAATGTTATTGGAACTACACAACAGTGATTATAGCACAACCTATAACTATATCAAAAACCAAAGAATTGTACATGTTAAAAGGATGAAGTTTATGACATGTACATTATCTCAATTTCAAAAATATCTATTATTTACCAAATCATAGAGCTATCATCTATTGATTGGGCATTTCAAGAAAGCAGTACAATAACATTCAAAGATAAATGCACTTAACCTTGTGAGGGTACGCAATTCTACCTGAAGGATCACAATCTTTCTTGTAATTCCAAGAAGCTTTATGAATAGCACCCAACTTTTGCTTCCCTTTTCCCAACAAAAGCATGAGGAGTAACCAAGAGAACTCCAATTATGGCCACACCACCCTGAACGCACCAGATCGCCTCTGATCTCAGAAAAGAACTCCAGGAATTAGAGAGCCCAGAGCAGTGGTTCTCAAGTAGGGTGATTTTACTCCTTAGTAGACAATTTCAGCTGTGGGAGTTAGATGGGTGCTATTAACATTAACTAGGTAGAAGTAAGCTATGTTACTGTTTATTAAATGTCCTATAATACACAGTACAGAGCTCACAACAAATAATTATCTAGACCAAAATGTCAAATGGTGATAAGGTTAAAAACCCTGCTCTGGAGCAGTGGTTCTCCAAATGTGGTTCCCAGGTCACATCACCTGAAAACTTAATAGAAATGCAAAAATCTCAGGCCCTACCTCAAACCTAAGAAATTACAAACTCTGGCCCTGGGGCCCAGCAATTCATTTTTAAAGCAAAGCTGACTGATGCTTGTAGGTAAATGTATGAGGCCCACTGGCCAGAGTTAGCAACCTTAGTGGTTAAATACAAATGCAATTCAAACAAAGTAGTCTAAAAATCAGGAACTGAACCCAGGTAGGCCAACCTTAGAAGACACTTTTTGATGCAAGGTTTTTCAAACCTTTGTACATGGGAGACTTCTCTGTTCTTCCACTAGAAAATCAGTTCTGTTGGTAGGATAGAGATAGGCAGAGGTGAGAGAATGGCATGGGAAGATAGCACCATAATAATTATATCCTTCCTAATTCTACATATTAGTATGCATTTTATAGGCTTCCAAATAAGTACCATGAAAATAATTAGGATATGTTAAGATTGCTGGTTTCTCCTTAAGTGCACTAAGCCTATATGATCATGCTTTTTCCACTTAGCTTCTTGTCATGAACTGGTAGCATTCTAGATTCTTGTTTTTCAGTTTCTAGAACCTGGTTAAACCTTGGCTGGGGATTTAGCTCAGTGGTAGGGCTTGGCCTAAACAACACCCTGAGTTCAATCCCCAGCATTGCAAAATACTAAAGAAAGAGAATAAACTCTGGGAAAGTGCAATTTTTTCATTGAGATTCAGGTATAATTCAAGAAATTAGACTTGATAAGTTTAACAGGCAGGTGAGATTTTTCCTAACAAGTAGAAATAAATTCTGATCCAGAGGGTGGTAACAAGTACAGTAGAAACATTTAAGCCCATCAGGCTGAACCAGCTTACTGCATACAATGAGAATTGAAGCTTGAGATGTATTCCATTTGTAGGATTACTCTATTTCTAAGTACTCCTCCCTTGTTCAACAAAATAAACACATTTCAGGCTCTTTGATAACAATGGCAATTTATAAAGCATTTGGAGCAACCAGATTCAGTTCCAGTGTACTGAATTCTATATAAAAGACTAAGAGTCATCCTTTTTCTTCACCTAAACATTTATTTTAGCCATTTCCAGGGGTAAAATATCTAAAATGTACTATACACATCTCTCCTGTCCCAAACTGAACATTGTACACTGAAAATACTTTTATTTCCTGCTCAGGATCTTTAAGCATGATTCTATAACTGAACATGGAGGCTCCAGAAACATAGCTGGCAGCCCAAAGACTGAGTCACCCAGGCTGAACTTTACTTTCTGGGTCTTCTCTGTCATTGACAGCTGCCTATATTTTGCTGAGTCTGTATCTAGCCTACTATGTGCTAAAAAAAAAAAAAAAAAAACACACACAACCAAATCGTAAACAACCAAGTTGAATAAGAGTTTACTTAAAATAGAGCAAATTATTTTAAAGAGGAGTCTTTACTTTAGAGTGTACTGCATACATTTTCCCTTACACTTGGCTTTGGAACTGTGTTCAGCATTGACCTGGCCTCCAGTAGAAAGAGTGCTACTAGACTAAACTGTGCATGTTCAGCTACCTCAAATATTGTTCAATATTTCTTTTAATGACAGCCAAAAGAGGAAAAAAAAAAAAAAACAAAACAAAACTCAGCACTTAAAAGTCTACTTATTTTCAAACATTTCAAAGAACAATGTTTTCTATTTCTTTACGGGGGATGGAACTCCGAGCCAAATCCCCAGCCCAAAGAACAATGTTTTAAAATGCTTCCAAATCTGGGAATTGTACATCATTTTATGAAAACTGTTCTCCAGTTTTGTCTTCAATAACCTCTAATTTCCAGAAATTTTCTTTGCTAAAGCTTCCAGTGATTATTTCAGGAAATCTATTCTATGAGATCATACTCTTGTCCTTTGCAGTTGATATTGTTGGTTTTCCTTGTTTCTGGATATTGCATTTAGTACTAGATTCTTTGAAATAGTATGGTTTTGTTATAAGCCCTTTAAAGTTCCCTCTATAATTTTTCAGCATTTTCAAATAACTGCACCATCACCATTTTGCAGCTGTTCTTCATATATATCCTTATTTCCATGACTTTTCCTTCTAGACTTTAAACAGTGCGGCACCACTTCAGATTCAGCCAACATCTTCGCCTTCTTTTCATTTCCAGCATTGAGCAAGGCACTACTTGTACAGACCCAACAATGCAACTCTGAAGATTTCAGCTTTCTGTTTATAGCCTCTCCCAAATCTGTTCCTTCTATAAAATAGAAAAAAGGACCCCAGCCTAGTCAAACCTGTATCGTCTCTTTTAAAAACACAGCTTCTATCCCCTTGCCTTATGTTAGAACCTGTTAAAGTTGTTTGCCAGCTATGTATAATTGCGAACAATCTGAAATGCCAAGAATGGTCTAATATAAAACTTATCAAACATACCAAGCTCTACCATCATATTTCTATATTTCAGGGGAAATAATTTGACTAACAATGTAATAATATTATAAAAACCTTGACTTAAAAAAATTGCATTTGTTACAATAACCCAAAGGTGATGCTTATCAAACCCTTCTAGCAAAGTGCATCTGCCAAGACAGTGAGGTAAATTTGTAACCGGAGATGTAACCTCAGGCACTACTAAACAGAATTTGACATTTATGTTTTTACATTTAAAATATGAGGCCGGGGTTGTGCACCTCAGGGGTTGGGAAAATGCTTTAACTTGTATGAGGCTGTGTCCAATCTACAGCCCCCAAAATATTCTTCCAGAGGCCATTTAACATTTTAGTAATAATTAAAAAAGCACTTAGTTTAAGCCCATGGTTCTGCCTACTACTCTGCATCCTCCATCCCAAGACCCAACTAGTTTACAAAATACACAAGCATGCGTTCACTGTGCAGCTCTTGAAAGGGCTGCTAAAAGCACTACTGCTAACATTAGTATCCAACGCAGCTTTATTTTAAAATGTTAAAACCTGCCCGAAAAGTACTACTGTTGACATTAGAATCCAACACAGCTTCATTTTAACATGTTGAAACCTGCCCAGCATGGTGGCACATGCCTGTAATCCCAGCACTTGGGAGGCCCAGGCAGGAGAGGAAGATCACTATGAGTTCGAGGACAGCCTGGGTTACATAGTGAGACCTTGTCTCAAAAATAAAACAAAACCAAAAATAAAATGTCAGAACCTGAATAACTGTGTAATAATTTGAAATCAGAATTCCGAAAACGTTGCTCCGAGATATTTCCCAATTATCTTTCAGTTTTAAATTTTTATCTTTGACGTCTTTCATAAGTACTTCCACACTGCTTATTTTCCAAAGCCAAAATGCATCTTGCATTTTAAATACTCCGTCCCATGGCGCCTCTTCATATTTTTCCTACCCCTCACGCCATTTAAAGTACATACTTCTCTTTTCTATCCCCCCAGAGGCTACCCGCTCCATCCTTCGCGGACGTCACAACAAAGGCGAGAAGAGTTAGGAGGGGTCCCCAACTGCCTCTAGTAGACGCGCCGGTGTCCCCGGAAGCTCAAAGGAAGCGCCAGCGCCTCACCAGCGGCAAACAACGATTACAGAGGCCTGCACCCCATCATTATCCTCGGCCGGGCCAGTTTCCACTGCGGAACACCAACCTCCGAAGCCCAGCAAGTTTGACCCGACCGCGCCCGCCCGAGTCCTCGCGCCGCTCGCTGC